GCTATACTAATGCTAATTAGGCTGGTAACAAGGATGATAGAAAGAGTACTTCAGGTGGTTGTTTCTATATTGGTACTAACCTTGTTTCATGGTACAGCAAGAATCAAAATTACATATCTTTATCATCTTGTGAGGCTGAATACATTGCTGCTGGAAGTTGTTGCACATAATTGTTTTGGATAAAACAAATGCTTCTGGATTATGGAGTTGATCAAGGTACTATTGCTATCTTTTGTGATAATACTAGTATAATTAATATTTCAAAGAATCCAGTTTTGCATTGTAAGACTAAGCACATTGATATTCGACATCACTTTCTTAGGGAACTTGTTGAACAAAATGTCGTGTCGTTGGAAAAAATGCATACTAATCAGAATTTGGCTGATATTCTCACTAAGTCATTAGATGCTCCTAAGTTTTCTCATCTTAGGAAATCTATAGGCATTTGTTGTCTTGATTAGATGCATTAAAAAGACATAGTCTAGAAAGGATTTTCATGCATATCTTAAGTGTCTAGATTATATTTTTGGAAAGTTAAGCAAACCATATTGATTGAGTATATTGAACACAAAGAGTTTTATACACGTAGATTATATATATGTAAAGCATACTATGGCCGGCTATGAATTGATGAAATTAGTTTTACTTACTTATTTCGTATAATAAATGAATCATTGATAGTACATTTAATTGAGATGTCATTGTTTTGGTCAAAGATAATGTTGATATGATTGATCATTGTCTTGGAATTTAACTTGATTTATGTGTTTTAGACCAAAAGAGTGAAAAGAAAAGCAAATTAAAAAACAGCTTGGAATGAAAAGCTTTTGAAAAGAATGAAAAATATTTGATGTTTTAAAAAGAAAATGTGAGATGGAAAAGGCTACCTTTGGGAATTGTCCGAAACTACCTTGACTCGAAACAAATGGGAATATGGGAAAGAGATGGTTGCCCTTAAGCGTGAAAGCCGCCAATGTGCAAAAAGAACAATGGAGCACAAAGAGATATAATAAAATAAAAATAAAAATGTCTTTTGTACATGTTGATTGTTTGATTTCTAAGGATATGTGATTTCTTTTATTTATTGTCTGAAATCTAAATAATTAACAGATCATATATTTTTGGAACTTGGTAGTGGTTTTACTACACTTACTAAGTTTGTGGAACTTTATTGAATTGATCTTGATTATTTGTGTTGATACATATAGTCTTGTGGAGTCTACATTCTCATTAGATACAATTTGCAAGTTCTATATGGTTGGTTGCTTCCTACTTCTAGGATTTTTCTTCCTTGAGACCCTTGTTAATTTGTAACAAAAAGGGGGAGAAAGTTAAGAGTCTTATCATTCAGGGGGAGAGATACTTTTGCATTAAGGAGAAGAACTTTTTGCATTGAGGAGGAGAACCATTGATCATTGCATTTTTATTACATTGATATTCAGGCACTAAAATTTGTTTATTTTATGCTTGTGTTTATTTTCTTGATTAAGCTTCACAAGTAGTTGTGTTTGAGCTATGTGTAGATTACAAGTTGCTACAAGTATTGAAGCTTCATGAGGTTCAAGAAAATTTCTGCGGTTTATTTCCTTCAACAATTATTGTAATTTACTTTTTCTACTTGGGTAGATTACATATTGTTTTTAGGGTTTTGTCATGAAATTGACAAAGATGGAGATTGTGAGATATATTTTATAATTGGCTAAATTTCGATATCAAAACAAGTGCGATCAAGTTGTAATTTTTTGATTCAAAATTTCAAGATTGAAGATTGGATGTGGATTTAAAGAAGTTCAAGTGTTAATGATTTACTACACTTTGAGATAATGAGAACAATGCTTTAGAAAGGTATGTGAGTGAGTGAGAACACTTAGGAAGTTTTAGAAGGTTGAAGGACACAATAGTATTACTTCTGATCATTGGGAACCAGTAGCACACTTCTTGAAGCAGTAACCAACAATGGTTTATAAAGGGATAGACACTGCCATTGCTGAATTGGTAGCCAAAGGCTGAACCGGTAGCCAAAGTGCGTCTAAATTCCTTCTGACCTTCTTAAACTGGTAGCCATATTCTTGTACCAGTTCAAGGTATCCTGAATAGTTTTTGAAACTTTTCTTTTTCATTCTGTTTGATTCCTTTTTGGACTAAACTTCCTTTCAAGTCCTATGCACGAAATTTTCTATATTTTTAAAGGGATTAGGACATTCTAAACTCTATATAAACCCTGATAGTCATTTAGGTTTATTCATGGCTTTAAGGAACATCAATTCTATATTTTGAGAAAGCCTTTAGAGAGAGAAAATTCAGAAAATCAAATATGATTATTCTAAATGAATTTTTGAGAGCACACATATATTTTCATGAGTGTAGTGTTGTTCTCTATCTCATCAGAATTGGAGTTATATTGAAGATTCAGAGATTCTGAAGAAAAAACAGGATTTAATTCTTCTACATCAAGTTCAAATCTTGAAGAACAAAAGTAAAAGCGATCACACTTTGAAAGGATCAAAGCATTCGAAGAGTGTTGTTTGATCTATATGCTGCTCTTCTACAAAGATCAAGCATAAGTCTGAAGTCAAGTTGTTGTTGGACGGGAAGTCACAAAACCAGAGGATTGTCAACAATTGGTGTTTTGTAGAATGATAGGGTATGAGCCAAAGTCAAAGTTCAGTATACTTTGTTTCAAACATAGTGGATCGATTTACTTTGGGCTGCATAGTCCATAAGGTTTTTTCCATGCAAACAGTTGACATATTTTATCAACTGGGGTTTCCTCGCTAAAAATTCTAGTTTAATCTCTCTAACCTTAACTTACTTTACTTTTCAGTATTTATATTTATTATTATGGATGGTTAATTGATCATATAGTTTAATCAATCATAAATTGAGCCAACCTAATAATTAGATCTAGGTCATTAAAGAAGTTAATCACAATTAAAATCAACTAATAGTTTCCGCAGCCTGCGTTAACACTGTTTTCACATAATTGACTCCCATCGGCTTGATTCTCTCTGGATTAGGTAAATTGTCTTTTTATATAAATCAAGCATGCTATTGGTCATTTAACTCTTTCCAAGCAGTGATTCAATTAGTTTATAATTATCTCGAGGGGTTTATATTCTGAATGTCTTTCATTTCTGATTGAATCTCTATGTTAGTTTTCTTCGGCTACTACAACAGATCATCAAGAAGATGAGTCACATGTGAGATATTATTTTATTTTTAGCAATTATCATAAACAAAACAAGTCCAAGTCGAGTTGTAATTCAAGTTACTTGGTCTGCAAGTTATCAAGTTCGACAGCAACTACGGAACTGAGAAGTTGTTCCAAATTACCATGTTTGAAGATCTTTTTGAAGAAAAATGTAAGAATAACACATTAGGAAGGAATTTTAAAAGGTTAGGACATTCTAAACTTGGTATTTATTTTGGAATTACCAAATACAGTGTTTTAAGCCTAAGTGAACCAAAAATTCAAGTCTGGTATACGTGAACCGGTTCAACCTTCTTGAACCAATTCAAGGCTTCAAGATTGGCTTCGAAATCCAATCTGCCAAACTTGAACCGGTTCAGTCCCTCTGAACCGGTTCAAGACGTCATGTTCACAGTACAACTTTCAGTTTCATTTCCTGATTTGTTTCCCAATTGGTCTAGAATTGTACAAAATCCTATGCACGAATTTTTTTTTCTTATTTTCAGAGGGATTAGGTCATTCTATACTCTATACAAATCATGTCATATACATTGGTTTAAGAACGACTTTTGCATTATCAGTTTATTATTCTTAAAAGCCTTAGGAAGATATTTTGTCTCTGAAATTCTTAGTGAATTTTCTGTTTGTCTTTCTAGAACATATACACATAAACACTAAGTGAGTTTAGAATTGTGTTGTTCGAATCCTGATCGTAATCATATAGTTGCATCTACATCAATCAGATAAAAGCAGATCTACTTCTACATCAAATTCAGACGATTAAAGTATAGAAGTAAAAGCGATCACACTCTGAAAGGGTTAGAGCATTTGAGGAGTGTTGTCTGATCTACCTGCTACTCTTCTACAAAGATCAAGCATAAGCCTGAGGTCAAGTTACTGTTGGACGGGAAGTCGCAAAGCCAGAGGATTGTCAACAATTGGTGTTTGGTAGAACGATAGGGTGTGAGTTAGAGTCAAAATTCAGTGTACTTTGTTTCAAGAATAGTGAATCGGTTTACTTTGAACTGTGCTTTACTTTGGACTGCACAGTCCACGAGGTTTTTCCTATGTAAACAGTTGATGTATTTTATCAATTGGGATTTCCTCACTAAAATCCTGGTGTCATCTCTAACTTTATTTTGTTTTATTTTAGATTGCATGATATTTATTTATTAATTACTAAAATAAAGTAAGTTAGAAAAACACAAAATTTGTTTTTAAAATAATCAAAACTTTCTAAATATTTTCCTCTGCGTGCAACTCACATCACACGTAATCTTACGAATTATATGTAAAACACAAATTTGTTATTCAATTTTTATGGCACATCCAAAAGTCCATCACATTCTTTCTATTATAGTTCTAGAAAGTCAAGTGGGCTCAATAAATTACAAACTAGTTTCATCTTAGAAAGTGCATGGTCCGCATGTTAATTAATTGCGGTTTTGTACTTTTATCTCAACTGGTCCTAAACCCCCACTAGTAATAATAATAATAATAATAATAATAAATGATAGCATGAACTCCAAAAAAAATTGGGTCAGATGGAAACGAAATAAATGACGAGAGTGGACAGATAGATCATTCCTCGCACGAGTATTACAATACAAAAAATTCTTTAATGGGTAAGTCCATCACAGAAACCTTGTTACCTACGTAGTGTAATATTGCATGAATGCTCTCCCTCCCTCTCTCTCTCTCTCTATATATATATGTGTGTGTGTGTATAGCCAAGGCATGCATCATGCATGCACTAACCAAACTGTGTATATATATAGCCAAGGCATGCATGCACTAACCAAACTCAACAATGGCAAGTACACGAAGCTGTCTGTTCTTAGGATTCCTATTTCTTGTCAATTCAGTGGCTAGTATTGCAGCTTTGCCGCGGCGTTTTGGCACGGTTTTGAGTGATAGCAGTACTACTACTGAACCTTTATCACCAACTAGTCACACTCATTCGGTGAATGATCGTAGAGATTTTCCATCTGGTTTTGTCTTTGGAGCAGCTTCATCTGCTTATCAGGTACATAAGCCATAGGTTTCATACAATGTAGTTATCAAAAGTTTCGAGAAATGTATATATATATATATGGCAGTATAATGATGGACATTTATGATTGTTCTTTACTTATCTGTTTAAATATTTCTTGTTTGTTTGAAGTTTGAAGGTGCAGCAAGTGACGGTGGCAGAAGCCAAAGTATATGGGATAATTTTACACACACATTTCCAGGTCAATCTCTCCTCAAAAAAAAAAAAAAAAAAAAAAAAAAAAAAAAAAAAAAAAAAAAGTTTGTTTGAAAATTAATGAAAGACAAAACCATGCATATATTACAACTACATATATTAAAGTTGTATCAATATGTATATAATATATATGTTGATGGTAAGGCAATAGGAAAATTGATATTGAGCAATATATATTGTCCTCTCAAAACATTGAGATACCAATATTAACTTCCATGCCATGCAATGCCCCCAAGAGCCAAGAATATCATTCCTGTCACATTAAATTTCTGTCAACACTTTTTTGATAATTTCTTAATATAATGTCAATATGGACCTAACGTGATTAATGGACGGATAGACTAGGGCTTGGAAAGAAAGAAAGAAAGAAAAAAAGTCCCTGTAAATGGATAATTCATGAAAATATATAAAACTATATAATATATTTACGTCACATATATAAAAATTATGATGTCTCTGATTCTGATGAAGTTTATGGTAAGATTGCAGATAAAATAGATGATGGCAGTAATGGAGACATGGCCATTAATTCCTATCATCGATACCAGGCATGGTCTATACCTTCCTATTAGCCCAATTTAATTTTTATAATTTGAACCAAATTAACAAGTTTTATAAATTGTGATATTAGTATGAAAATGTTAACCTTGAATTGTTCTCTTATCTTTATTTTATTTTTACTCATGTGACAGGAAGATGTGGGGATGATGAAGAACCTAAGCCTAGATGCTTACCGATTCTCAATCTCATGGTCAAGAGTGATACCAAGTAAGATGATCGATCACTTGCTTCAATTTTCACAGACCTCATGATATGATTAAGTGATTAATAAGAATCATATAATTGATATAGAAACTTTGAACCTGAATATCCAAAGTTTCTCTTTAATTTTTACTAATCTTGTATTATTTATTTAATTTCGTTAATTTTGAATTTTTAACTTGCAGAAGGGATAATAAATAGGGGTGTAAATCGGGAAGGAATAGAATACTACAATAACCTCATAAATGAGCTCCTACACAATGGTTATGATTGAAACTCACTCTCTTTCTTCATTAATCAATTAGCCATGCATGTTCATCTTCTACATTACAATTGTATATATCTTATCATTTATTCGCAGGAATCGAGCCATTTGTGACTCTCTTTCATTGGGATCTTCCGCAAACCTTAGAAGATGAGTATGGTGGTTTCTTAAGTCCTCAAATTGTGTAAGTCACTCAACTTTAATTCATTCAATGATCTACATATTTATCTATCCAGTTAGTAGATACATTAAGCAACATCCACAACATTTACATTTTGATGGTCTTAAATTAGGAACCACTGCACTAAAAACACATCATAATTTGGTGACTTTAAATAGAATTCACTAAAAGATTTTATTTCTATTTTTTATCTTTTGTTTCTCCTAATCTAAATCAGTGGTACTATATGATATACTCCAACAAGATTGAAAAACAATTTTCAATTAATATACAAATAATTTTGAGGTTATGTGATTGTTTTGAATTTCAGCAGAGAAGCCTATATAAAAAATTTTAATAAGTTATATATTTTAAGAAACCATAAAATTAAACTTAGAATTCAGGGCTCAAAGAATGGTTATGTGATTGTTTATACATCTAAATTATGTATTTAAGATTTTTATAACATTGTTAATTTGTCAAAGACGTTTGTGTGAATAACTTGTTACTCATACATATAGGCATCTAACTATATACATATAGGCATCTAACTATGTATATAACATATATAGTTGTTTGGATTGATATGGAATAATCAAACAGTATTGAAATATATATTCTATATATGTACAATATATATGTATATATATTATATTCGGTTTCCTTTCTTTCCTCCTTGATTTACCTCTTTAATTTATTCGTTTTGTCAACATTATTTCCTATACACAATATACAATATAAACATATCAAGAAATACAAGCAATAAGAAAAATGTAACCTCAGCGGCTCTTGATCAATAGATGTAGGTCTTAGTACTGAACCATGTATATGTCGACCAGAATTGTTATGCACATCAGATTTCCCAAGCTCAATGCTAATTGATTGAGGCGAGGCATTTATATATGATTTATTCAACAGGGATGATTTCCGCGACTATGCAGAACTTTGTTTTATGGAATTTGGTGACCGAGTTAAGTATTGGATCACGTTGAACGAGCCATGGTCCTTCAGCAATGGTGGTTATGCAACAGGTACGTTGGCGCCAGGTCGATGTTCTTCTTGGCAACAAAACAATTGCACTGGCGGAGATGCAAGCCTTGAACCATATTTGGTGACACACCACCAACTTCTTGCTCATGCAGCTGCTGTGAACTTGTACAAAAACAAGTATCAGGTCCCATTTTCGGAATTTAATGCTAGTTTTAAGTGTAATTTATGTGATACATTGCAATTTTGAACCATTATTTTTGTTGGCTGATATAAATTGAACATATATGAAATTGTGTATATAGGCAGCACAAGAGGGTAAGATAGGGATTACACTTGTGACACTCTGGACGGAGCCTTTCTCTAATTCAACGGAAGACAATGATGCTGCGGAACGAGCCCTTGATTTCATGTTTGGATGGTGAGTATTCCAAATGATAAACGTGCATTTATTTTAGTAGATATATCATTATGTATTAATATTTAATAATATCATATCATTAATATAATAAGGGTATGAAAGTAATTCTGAAGGGAGAATGAAAGTTATGAAATATTACAGATGAAAACCTTTAAATGCACAAAATTTATTAAAAAATAATTAAACTAATTTTTCTTGTAGCCCTCAACACTTAAAACTTCCGAAAATAAAAAATACAAATCCCTATAAAAAAAAATAAAAAAATAAAAAATAGAAAAAGGTTCTTAATGACTAAACTAAAAAAAAATTCTTGAAGCTTCACCAAATGAGCACAATACCCCTTGTGGTTTAACACTGAGCAAATCAGTCCCTATAGTTTCAAAAGTGAACAAATTGTTCTCTTACATTTCACCTCCGATCACTTTCCATCGAATGTCATTGTGCATTTACCAAACTATCTCCTATAATTAACCTTTTTTTTAAATATATAAAAGATAAAATATCTTAAATGCCCTCTAAAATAAACGGATACATCATATGACTCTAAATTGACTAAGTGTGTAACTTCTCATTTAGGTCTCTGCATGGATTACTTGAACCCAGACTTTCCTGCTCTGTTTTTTCACAACACGTGTTCCACTTTTTTCTCATCTATAATTTTTTTAATATTATTTTATTGTAATGCTTCCTTATCTCTGTTCATGGTCGGGTTCGGTAGAGAGCAAAAGGAGTGAACCATCCATGGGTTCTTGTATGTGGACCATGTAATAATGTATATGCATACGTACGTGTGCATTAATAATGTTTAGGTATTTAATGTAGGTAGCAGAAGAGACAAGTGAAAGAAATGCACACATATATATATATATTATAGATTTTATTTTTCTAGTTGGTACTCAGAAGTCCATGCCTCCATGGAGGCTCAAACCTCGATCTCCTTTTGAAAAGTAGGGATCTGATATTGCTGGGCACTTGTGGATTGGTATTATTATATTATATTATATTATATGTACAACTTATCATAATAATATATATATATATATATATATATATATATAAATGTTTAAATCAACTTACCTTGGAGCGCATACGCAAACGAAAGGAAAGAGCAAAACGGGTTTGATTGTAAGTTTGGTAACAAATAAATGCAAAACCTTTTTATAGGGAGAGGGGTATAAAAGTCATATTGGAGGGTATTTCTGATATTAAAAAATATATATCAATCATCTACAGCATAATATGGATAGAAAGTGGCCCAATATAAAATGCAAGGGAGCAATTTGCTCATTTTTGAAATTATAAATATTAATTTGCTCGCTTTTAAACCACCGGAGATATTGTGTTCACTTGGTAAAACTTTAAGATATTTTTTTGCACTTTTGCCAAAAAAAAATAATAATAATTAAAATATTATACTAAAAAAATAATTTTGAGGTCCTAGACAATATAATTTGGTTTTTTTTTTTTAAAACAAAAAAACAAACAAAGCTTACAGGTATTAATTGTTGGGCTTTTTCGAGAGAATGGGCGTCCATGCTTCGAAACAGGCTTATCGCCAAAAAAATTTAGGGTACCCATTGTACATCGGTATTAATTAACATAACCACTCAGAACTTATTCTCTTATACTTCTCTAAAGTTAATGTGTTCTTTATTTGCCTATGTTATGGAGGAATTTGAGTAAATCTATTAATTTTAAAGGGTTTAAATATTAGTTTCTCACTTTTATATATTTTTTCATTTGTGTGTTGTATAGGTTTATGGACCCATTGACAAGTGGTAACTATCCAGATAGCATGAGATCTCGGGTAGGAAGCCGACTTCCCAAGTTTTCGGAAGAACAATCCAGGAGGGTAAATGGGTCATTTGATTTTCTGGGATTAAACTACTATACTGCTAACTATGCAGCAGACTTAACCAACTCAGATAATGGTTTGTATATGAGTTACACAACAGATTCTGGAGTCAATCTTACAAGTAAGTAAAAAGTCATATTTTTATTCCATTAATTATATAAATTTATATTCGCCGTATCGAATCAGCGTCTTAATTTGAGATTGAAAAAAATTTAAATTAAATTTTTTTTGATCTCAAATTCAAAACACTGATTCTTCGCTTCCAAATATAATAAATTCTAATCTAAATGTGTATTATATTTTGATACCCTAGGTGAGCGGAACGGGGTCTATATCGGTGACGAGGTGCTGCATCCAAATCTAGTCATTTCCCATTGTAACATTTTATGACTCATATTAACTCAAGGATAATTTCGACATTTCAACATAACTGATATTTTATAATAAAATTGAAGGGACAATTTTATTTTTTCAAAACATTTAAGACCTTGTTTGGTTAACAATTCTGAGAAAGGGTGTCATTGTCCAAAAAAATAACTAATTTGTATATGATTGTTCATATAACAAACTTCCAGAGGGCATCATTATACTTTGCCCAATTTATTATTTTAGTCAAAACAAAATTATGTCTTGGAAGCACCTTATTATAGACAGTAACACCATTTTTTTTTTTTTTTTGGTGCTTCCAAATGTAATAACTTTCAATAACTAACTTTAAATCTTAGATGATGTAATTACAGACTGGTTCAGATTGGCTTTTTGTTTATCCGAGTGGAATTCATGATCTTCTAGTCTACATCAATGGAAAGTATAACAGCCCAGTTATTTACATTACAGAGAATGGTAAGAACATTTTCTAATCCTTACTTCATCAATTTCAAGAAAGGTTACTTAATTTAATGGACGGTTTGGTATGAGCTGAATACGGGTTAAGAGGATGATAGGAAAGAAGGAAGAAATAAACTTCTTTCGTCTGACATAGAAAAGACAATGAGGGAAGAAAAAAAATGATGATTAGAATCATTCTTCCTATTTCACAAATTTTCAACCGCATAAAATAAAGACGGATGAAAAGAAAATAAAAAAATTGCAAGACTGTTACAGAAATTTGAAATCACAATACTACCCTTCAAAATTATTAGAGAAAATCAGTATAAGCAATCTCTATCATCCCTTCTCTTTCATCCAACCAAATAAAAATTGGAAATGACACTATTCTTACCCTTAGAATGTCCCATCGATCCCTTCGTCTCTTACTTCAATCAAATTTTCTTCCTTCCTTCCCATCAAACCGACCATTAAAGTACTAGTAATTCAATACAAATTTACACCTAGATATATAATTCTTAATTGTTTTGTAGGAGTTTCCGAGAAAAGAAACGACACAATACCGCTGGAGGAAGCCCTGGAGGACACCCAAAGAGTAAATTACCACAGCAGTCACCTTTCTTGTGTTCAACAAGCTATCCAGTAGGAATGTTATGAGCTTGAAATTATAGATTTTTATTTTATTATCATTATTATTATTATTATTTATTTTTTATTTTTTACTATTTTTCTGAAATTGCAGGGATGGTGTGAATGTGATGGGATACTTCGTATGGTCATTGATGGACAACTTCGAATGGAATGCTGGTTACACCGTTCGTTTTGGTATAAGCTACATAGACTATAATAATGGGTTAAAAAGATATCCCAAAGCTTCCTACCAATGGTTCAAGTATTTTCTTCAGAAGTAAAGTGAGGTTTCTTATCAAAAATAATCCATCCACGGTATAATATTATAAATCGGATCAGGGATGGAAAATGATGCTGTTGAATTTTTAATAAAAACATCAGAGTAATTTCCTCTGCACTCTATTTTATGATATATATATATATATATATATATATATATATAAGTATTATAGTTAAAAAGTGTATGTTGATGATGGTATAAAAATGTGCAAAAGAAGAGGACTAGAAGTCCAATAACACCATGGGTACCGCCTAATAGGCATGTACTGGTTGATCATATTGGAAGGTTCTAGAATGGCCTAAACACAGCTCAAATTGTGTTTTATTAAATGATAAATAGATGCTTATCAAAAAATCATGGAATTATCTAGAAGTAGGGTTAACTGGTTAAGTCACCACAATACAAATTGCACCATATGGTATGTTAGATGTGACCTGTCCTAAATTTTTCCCCAATAACACTGTTCAGTACAGTTCACTTTTTTCTCTTTGCATGCTAAAGGATTGTGTTGCTATCATATTCACAATCAAAACTAAATTATTACAGTCTCGAACTAATCACTCTCACAGTCTCACTACATTTTCATTTCGTAAACAAGGCAATTTTTTTTTTTTAAATGCTTCCAAACATTCCACGGAAATACTACAGCAAAATTACTCTATATTCTAATATTGTAAATTGGTTAATAAACTATTAATAATTTTCAATTTTATCAAACACCACCTAGTCAATAAACTATAAATAATTGTCCCTTGATTTTTAGTTCCTTTGAGCAAAGTTTGAGTCCTATTATTTTTTTTTTAATTTTTGGTGGGGTTGGTGTTAGGTAAATACTAATACACACCACAAATGCCCTATGGAACTCTCCCAAATCCAAACTTTTCAAGCCACAACTAAAGAAGACAAAATTGACCGGGAAGTTTGACTTGTATGATGCATACGAAAATACCAAAATTGTCCCAACTCCAAGGTACACTTCCAAAATATATCCAGATCTCCAAGAGAATTTGAGAAAAGAAAAAGAAAAAAAATACATTACAAAGAAAGAAATATACCTTTAAAAACTTCCAATGGTCAAATCATGGACAATGCAATGAACGCAAGTGCCTCAACGTATATCTTTGTAATTATACGCTAAAGATGGTATTCCCTCCTCCTCAAAGCCTCAGGCAGTGTAATTTCTCATATCTGCGCAGGACACTAGGAAACTCATACAAGGCCCTTTTCTTTGAAGACATTCAGCATTGCAGTTCCTATCTTTGCTGGAGATTCCACCACTGTCACCCCAGCTTCCCTGAGGGTCTTGATTTTGTCTTGCGCCGTACCCTTTCCTCCCGATACTATAGCTGCATACACGAAAAGGAATAACAGGCGTTAATAACAATTTAACTGAAAATAAGAACACGGTTTTGCTCAAGATCTTCATCAGTAGTATATACATGAAAATGTAGCAATGCTGGTCTTGCAGAAGCATCATAATAGTTTTCTAACAATTCATTCAGGTTTAGAAGCATCTGTCTGTTTCAAACTTTGAGGGTGCATAATACTAAACAAACAGGGAAAATTCAAAACGGGTAAATATCGCAAATACTATTAATAGTGACCTGTTTATTTTATGAAAATTTGCTTCTTCAGCATGAAATTGCACTTCGTAGAAAATTAGCGATATGCCTCACAATACGCAATTTGTTCTATAACATGAACAGGAGACTCAGCAACTAAAATGTACACGGTTAGAACTCGAAGCAAAGAGGCAGACACCGAAGTCCATTTGCCAACAAGCATATGCAGCATCAATTAGTGTGAATCATGCTCACACAGCATCATCATCATTATCATCATTGCCTTTATCCATCAACGGAATTGGCCACATGAATTTCATTTTTCCATTATGCTCTTCTCCTATTAGATTTAATTTTTTACAATTATTTCTTATTATTTCGTTCCATTTTAGTTTTTCTTGACCTCTTTGCCTCTTACCTCCTACTATAGAAACCAATCTTCCTTTTCTCACCAATTGCATCTACACCATTGAATATATTTATCCAACTAATAAGTCTACTTTCTTTTATTTCCTCATTAGTAGGCATCACTCCTAATTTCTCTCCTACTATTGATTATTAACCTTATCCATTCTAGTTACTCCTACCATCCATCTCATCATTTGCATTCCAGCTATATGAACACATTGTTTTTGTTTTCTTTTTTAACATCCAACACTCTACTCCGTATAAGATAGACAGTCTAATAACTGTCCTACATAGTATATACTTTTCCGTTAACTTATTTGATATCCGTTTATCGCACAAAACACTACGAGCCTGCCTCCATCTTGTCTAACAGATTCCAATTCTACTACTTATAACATCAATATCTTTGTCCTCCTGTATAACTGATCTTAAATGTCGAAAATTACTCTGAGTAATGCTTTGGTCCTGAATTATTATCGCTATATTACCATTTCCTGTAGCATTACTAAATTTTCAATTCATGTATTCTATTTATTTTGACTTATTTTTAAACCTATTGACACTAATGTTCTCTCTTCAACTTTCTAATTTTATTGCTAAGACTTTGAATTATCCAATAGCACAATGTCATCAGCAAATAACATGCACCATGAGATGTCACCTTGAAAATCATTCATTGTTTCATCCAAGACTCTTGTAAACTGAAGGTCTGTAGTTCAATCCTGAATGGGGGCATTTATGTTCTTTAATTTATTATTTTTTACTTATCAAAAAAAAAAATTTATTTCATCCAAAATTAACGTGAATAAATATAGACTTAGCAATGATTCTTGGTGAATTTCTACTTTTATAGGAATATCATTGATCTCTCCCACATATAGCACGAACTCTGGTTTTCTTATGGCCTCTTTGGCTTGGGAGTTGACCACTTAAGTCTAGAGTTCGAGGATTGGGAGAACAGAGAATATGTTTTCTTCCTAGAACCCACCAACTTATCTCTCTTGATACTCCATCATGTCTAGTTTAAGACTATAAAAAATAAGTGTGGGTATTTTTGTTTGCTTCTACAATCTTCAACTACTTGTCTTAATAAGTAAATGACCCCTACAGTGATCTCTCTGGCTTAAATCCAAATTGATTACACATTCTTTCTCTAATCCATTTCTCATAGTTCCATAGTATGACTCATTAATCCTCTATAGTTGGCATAGTTTTGTACATCTCTTTCATTTTTATATATTGGTACTAAAGTGTTTTTCCTTCATTTATTTGCCATCGTGCCTTCCTCTAATTTTATTAAACAGATTTATTAGCTATTAAACAGATTTATTAGCCATTAAACTAATTTTATTAGCCATGTTGGAAAATGTCTCAATGCGGAAGCTTTTCAAAATCGTTTCCCATTAGTTGTAGTAGATTCATGATCCTATAGAAGAAAAAGAATTCCATACCATTTTGGTAATTCGAAGACCCGCAACAACAAGAGTTCTTGAAAGAAATCTTTTTGCGCTTCGAACCAAAACCCCGAACAGGCACAACAACTTTAAACTGAAACTGGCAGCAACCTGCAGCTCCAAAAATTCTTATTTTTGGACACAACGTAGCCACGAAAGTCAGCTTTCCAATGCCTTTGACCTTGTGTCAATTCGACTTTGGAATTCAGATGAAAGAGATATGCCCGTTTTAGTGACTGTAGGTACTGCTGGAAAAACCTGCGGGAATCAACTTTGAAGCTTTCTTCAATGGTGATTGAGAGCACAAGAGACCACTAAACCTTAACCTAGTACAACTCTATGGTACTTTCACTAAATAAAAATAGTTGTGCTCCAAATTATAAATAAATTACAAAATTGTCACAACATGTTAAATTACTTAATTACCCCTTAAATTACTTAATTACTGCTCCAGGACAAATTAAAATATTGGACAAATGGTGTAGCCTATCCAATCACTAACTTAATCCTTTGTTATTGACTTCTTGATTAAAGCTATTTGATCACACAAGTTCCTTTGAGAAAATAACATTTAACAAATAAAATATAAAATATATATCCTTTTCATTAAAAATTACCAACCAATTTTTGTCATCAAAACAATCCAATAATAAAAAGTGATCAAGCAAAAATGTCTTCAGAATCCTTGTACAAACTTCCATGTATTAATTAATAATTACCCAAAGTAACCATGAGGTCCTCTGAATACATCAAAGTAATTATTAACTAATACATAAGTCCACTATTCTCTCAGACTTGAGAGTAATTATTTAAAACACCAATAAGGAGAAATTACAATGACGGCTATCATAATTCCTTCAACTTATTCTTAATCCATTTCAACGTGTCGTACACATCAACTTGTACAAGTCCTTCTATTTCTAATGTACAAGTCCTTCTATTTATAATGACTGAGATAAGTCAATCTATAAATAGGAACACATGCTACACTGTATCAAAATAGAGTGACCAACTCTATCAAGAATGCAAACCAACTTCTTTATGATAATATGATTACCAGAATCATATCTCCTATCATTTAGCTCAATCGTGGATGCACATAAATCATCTAACAATATCAAAGGTACCTAGACTCAACTCTAGAGTCAACCAAAACAAGTATTCACCATATATGTATCAAAGCACGTAAACTATAAAATCAGATCCTCATTGATAAAATATGTCGAATACAATCAGCTATTGGCTTGAAGGGCACATCTAATCCCAACACTCCATGCCTCTATAGGGATATTATACGGTCTTAACACTTTATTGTCTTCAATTTTTCACAATATGTCATCAATTTCTTTATTACATCTATCATTCCAAGATTAGGCTAATTATATTAAATGTCTTTTAACTCTTTGTTAAGAAATTCCTCATTCAAAAGTTGTTGAAAGTAACTTTGACACCAATCCAACATGTCATCATCCTCAAATAAGAAAAAAAAATTCTACGTCCTTAATACACCCAACTCAATCATTATCTCTAGTCAATTTATCCCCTACCTTTTGCCAATTTGTGAATAGCTTTTTCACCATCTCTTTTACCTAATTGTTCATATAGCTAAGGAAAAATAATAATAATTGTTCATACAAATCATTTAACGAGATTTATTTGGCTTTAGCTACCATCCTCTTAGCTTCATTTATAATTTATTGCATTTATCTAGTACCTCTTGGTTCTTACTTTTTTCCCATTCTTTAAACCTCATCCTCTTATCTTCCATTACTTTTGTATTTCTCTTCCGCCATATTCAACCATAAGTTATTTACATTACAATTCTAATACCATTTCTTGTAATGTTTTCTCTAAATGACATCTTCTTGTTATCTTTCAATTCTTTTCACTTTATGTATTGCTGTCCTTTTCCTGAGTTTTAATATTTAGAGCCTTTAATGGTCTAATATTAGCAATTGATGTAGGTTGGTAAGACACTCCCCTAAAATTACCTTATAGCCGTACATGATGTTAACTGTCTTCTTTTATATAGACGACAATCAATTTGTGTTTTATTCACACCACTCCTAAATGTAATCAATTTGTTATAGCGACATCATATACCACAACGAATTCTAGGGTGTTTCACCTGTCTCGTGACTCTCTCCAAAGCCATATTTTCCTTCTAGAATTTTTGTAGAAAAACTAGAACTCAATTATCTGATAAATGTGATTAAACAAAGAGAAAAAAAATATATATATATATAAATAAAAAAACTAGAAGAATCAATGAATGTCACAACTGTGGTAAGTCTTCCACAAGATTCTCTCCCAAAGGAGTCTTCAAACAATGGGGCAAAAATTCAACAGAGGGAGAGGTTAAAGAACTAACAGGCAACATTTTAGAGAAGGGAATGAAACACGAGCGTCAAAGAGTTTAGCATCAAAGAATTGTATTTAAAGAGAGCACAATTAGCAATGTTCACTTGGCAGCAAATAATAAAGTAAATGCAAGAATAATAACAATATGGATTAAATTGGCCCTGGTGCCTCGGGATCGAGTCTAAGGTTCAACTCCTCTTGTAACTTTCCATTGCTTGCTAGTTTGGGTGTTTGAGTGTCCTTTTCTAGGACTTTGTTTTGTTTTAAATGAGGGTATGCCCTCATTTGTCTCCATGTATTTTTTGTTTATATTCAATATACTCCTTTCATTTAGGGAAAAAAAAAAAAAAAAAAAAAAAAATCTAGGAAAAAAAAAACAATATGAATTTACAAAATTCATTGGCAGTGTTATACCTCCAGCATGACCCATGCGCCGGCCAGGTGGAGCAGTGAGCCCAGCAATAAATGCAACAATAGGCTTTTCAGTCCCACTTTCCTGTTTAATTTTACATACAATCACATGCCAAAAATAACAAATGAGAACCAAAGGGACCAGCCAAGAAAAATATAAATAAAGGCTCAAGGATAACTTTGTATTGTATAATGTTGAAGCAATTTCCAAGTAGACGAAAGTACAATCAATTCTACTTTTTTCTTTTTTTTTAAAATAATAATAATAGTGCTACGAGTTTCGCTTGCATGTGTAAAATTAATACAATAACAATAGTTGAGTAAACTGATTCTCTATTTAATAAATGCTCAAACCCACTAGCCCTATTATTCTTGTATTAGGCCAAAAGTTCAACACACTAACTAGCACATTTAACAACTATATAACATCACTCAAATGTTTTATAGGTGCCTATTTTGTCAAATAATACAGGGAAAGCAACAAAAATTAAGGATATAAAATATGGAGGGAAGACAGTGGTCTGAGATTAATGTTTTACAAGCCCAGACCATAACTGAAAATGACGCATTTGAAGCCTTTGACAACTCAACCAAGTTACTGCAAGCACAAATAAGTCTGCCATGACTAAACCGACGGGCCAATAAGCTAGTAGAAACATTAAAAAGCGAGAATTGGTATGCCAAACACTTGCATATATTTTTGAATGCACTGTTCTAAGTTAACATATCAACCTAGCACCACAAAAACTCTAACTAGATAAGTACGACAATTGATGCATATAATGCATAACTTCATCTCTGGTATTTGTGATGCTGGCAATGAATATTATTATCATTGTCCTAGTAATGTCACCCTCTACAAGACTACAAGACTTGATCATGTTCTCTTGAGAGTTTTTCTAGGACTCATATATATATATATATATATATATATATATATATATTGAATATTAAACTTGCAATAAGAAGTCATCAGAACATACTTGATATTAATATTGAACAGTGCAATTCTCATTTCACTTGATCATTGTGCGGTCTTAATCATTAGGGGCTGTTCAAGGTTTGGGAGGGAGAGAGTTGAGAAGCTGTTTCGGTAAATTATATAGGAACAGCACTTTGGGGGAGGGGATTATGAGGCAAAGTGAGAAGCACAGAAGGGTGCGTGCTATGGTGCTAGATGAAGACCATATTTCCTCCCTTCCATGGAGAGGCATTTGGGGTTCGAAAGCACTTTCCAGATAGGTTTTCTGCTAAAATGATGGTTTCTGGTGTTGTACATATGCTCATTAGGCAGTGATAAAAAAGGAAATCAGAGAGGGTGACTGAATTTATTCCAAAAAAAGTTATTGTCCTTATTTATTACTTTCCTGATTTTGTAATTGCAGAATATTTGTGCATTTGTGATTGCAGACTATTTGTGCATTTATGATTGGACCACATCAGCGGTGAGTAGGGATGACCTACTCACAGTCAACTGGTGTTGTATGTGTAAGAATGATGGAGAGTCTGTGGATCACCTTCTCTTACATTGTCTTATGGCTTATGATTGTTGGAGTCTTATTTTTGGTCTTTTTGGCATCCATTGGGTTATGCCTCGGTCTTCAAGGGAATTGATTGACATTTGGAGGGGCCAAAGGGTGGGGGCCCATGCTCGTGTCTATTGGAGGGTAACCCCCCTTTGTGTTTGGTGGAGCATCTGGAAAGAGCGAAACAGAAGATCTGTTGATGGGGAGGAAACCTCCATTGGGACACTGAAATTTGCTATTATTAGTTCTCTTTTTAGTTGGGGTGATGGGGAGAAATTGTTTATCTTTAGATGAGATTGTGGACTTTTGGGGTTCTTTGGGTCCAAAGGGCTTTTGTTTGGTTTCTTGTATATTGCTTGGGATGCATTCTCCTTTTGAACGCTTTCTAATACATTTTATTTATCAAAAACGAAAAAAAAAAAAAAAAAAAGACCAAGCAAGTCTTGTCCTTCTTTAGTGGCTCAAGAGGGGTGGGAGTTTCTCTTTGCAGTATTTGGCATCAGTTGGGTCATTTCGTCTTCCGCAAGAAACATGCATGAAGCTTGGAAGGGTTGTTGGAGAGTGGCACCCTATTTGTTTGTAGTGGGGCCTTTGGCGGGAGAGAAATAGAAGATCTTTTGATGGAGAAGAGATTCCTATTTGGGCTTTAAAATTCTTTATACTAAGCTCTTTATTTTTGGGGGTTCATGATAGACAATGTAAATCTGTGGAGGAGATTATTGATTTTGTTGATTCATTACCATAGTTGTCAAAGGCGTTTTGGGTGCGCGCCTTGGGCGCGGGGCGCATCAAGGTGCAGCTTTGGCGCCTTACATGCACCCAGGCGAGGCTCTTTGCATAGGCGCACGCCTATTTGCTAAAGGCGATAGGCCCAAGGCGCATGTGGGGCACTCCTGTTTGAAGAGCTTTGTTTTTATGTTATTTAAAGAGTTGTGACTTTCATTGTTGGTTTGACTTTTCATATAATTGGTATGTGAATGTTAAGTGGTGGACCCTACCACTTATTATAAGTTATATAAAGCAACAAAAGGGGCTCTGTTGCTGCTTCTTTATTCTTCTTCTTTGCTGCATATGTTAAGTGGTGGACCCTATCACTTATTATAAGTTATATAAAGACAAAAGAATATGGCTCAAACATGCTGCTGCTTCTGTTCTCTTCCTGCTGCATATGTTAAGTGGTGGACCCAACCACTTTTTTTCTTCTACTTCGGCTTCTTTTCTCTTCTCTCTCCATCTCTTTTTCTTCTGTCTTTTTCCTCCTCCTGTTCTCACTTCTCTCTCTCTCTGTCTTGCTTCTTATTCTTTATTATTTTTTTTCCCTACTTTGTGCTCTACTGCTTTCTGCTTTAATAATTATTCCATATTAATTAGTACAATACATGTTATTTTTTCTCTTCTTTTTTTTTTTTTTTTTAACTATGAAAAATTAATATGCCTGCTAAACTATTAAAATGCTAGTTATTTTTTCTTGGGCCAATTTTTTATTTTTTTCTCAACTTGCGCCTCACTTCAGTCGGGCGCACCCCTCACTTCAGTCGGGCGCGCCCCTCGCCTTGCACCTCACGCTCCAGGAGGCCTTAGCGCCTTAGTACGCCTTGAGGCTTTTTTTTTTTTTTTTTTTTTGATAAGTAAAATGTATTAAAAGGTGTTCGAAAGGGGAACGCGTCCCAAGCTATACAAAAATAGAACCTATGATCTCAAGGAAGTCCACAAGATCCTCAATAGAGGAAAAATCTCTCCCCCATCCCCAACAAAAAAGAGTACAAATAATAGAAAATTTCAACACCCCAATGAAGGATTCCTTCCCATCGAAAGATCTTCTATTCCGCTCTTTCCAAATGCTCCACCAAACACAAAAAGGGGTTACCCTCCAAAAAACTCTCGCCTGAGCCCCCACCCATTGGCCCCTCCAGGTATTCAGCAAGCCCCGAGATGTCCGAGGCATGACCTAATGAATACCAAACAGATCAAAAATGAGACTCCAACAATCATGAGCCACAAGACAATGCAGCAGAAGATGATCCACTGACTCCCCATTCAATTTACAAAGACAACATCGATTAACAATAATATGTCTTCACTTCCTCAAGTTATCCAAAGTCAAAATCTTACTCCAAGCTGCAGTCCACACAAAAAAAGCCACCCTAAGAGGCGCCTTGGACAATCACACCGTCTTCCACCGGGAGAAAACGCCATGAAAACCAGAGAGGCACACAAAAAAAGACCGGACCTGGAACATCCCCTGAGAGGAAGGCACCCAAATCAGGGAGTCAACAGCAGTACCCTCCACCTCCTGTCTGTACAAGAGAGCCAACAAGCCAGTGACATCATCCAACTTCCAATCCTGAAAAGATCGACGGAATCGCACATCCCAAGATAACCTCCCGCTATCAAAACGATAGCAATTGGCAACCATAGCATGTTTGTCAACAGCAATCCTGTACAGCCTTGGAAACAGAAGAGCTAGAGGCCTACCCTCGCACCAAGGATCCTCCCAAAACCGGACAAATCTTCCATCCCGAACTCTAAATCTAACATGTTTGGAAAACTCGTCCCATCCTTTTCCAATGGCCCTCCACACCCCTACTCCGCTAGCATACCTAACTGGTCTAGCTGACCACCCCCCTCTCTCCTCCCCAAAGCGACAAGAAATAACCCTTCTCCATAATCTATGTCTTTCACTGCCGAATCTCCAAAGCCACTTACCAAGGATAGCACTGTTAAACGGAGCCAATCTCATAATCCCAAGCCTGCCCAACTGAAATGGCCTGCAGACCTGCTCCCATCTGACAAGATGATACTTAGACTCTTCTCCATGGCCCCCCTAAAGGAAATTACATTGAAGCATCTCAAAACGTCCAACAACCGAGGCTAGAGCCCGAAAGAGCGAAAGAAAATACGTTGGGATGCTTGACAATATACTTTTCACTAACGTAACTTTACCACCCTTGGAGAGATATTGCTTTTTCCACCCAGCTAATCTTCTCTCAACCCTCTCAATCACCGGGTCCCAAATTCCCACCCTCCGAGCCTAGTCCCCCAGCGGCAAACCCAAATATGAGATAGGGAAGCATTGCGTCCCACATCCTAAAACAGCAGCCAGAGTGTCCACCTCCTGAACCTCCCCCACAGGGACAAGCACACTCTTGCCCACGTTGACTTTCAAACCAGAGACAGCCTGAAAGCAAACCAAGACACATCTCAGATACCTCAACTGGGACACCTCTGCCTCGCAAAAGACAATAGTGTCATCCGCAAAGAGCAAGTGAGATATCTCCATCTGTTGAACGAAGTCGGGGCCGATCTTAAAACCCAAGTCTACCGCCCTTTTCATCAACCTACTGAGAGCCTTCATAACAATAATAAAAAGGAATGGGGAGAGAGGGTCCCCCTGTCTCAGACCGCGAGAACTGCTGAAAAACCCCGCAGGAGACCCATTCACCAACACCGAAAAGCTGACAGTGGAAACACATGAAGCAATCCATTTCCTCCATTTCCAACAGACATGATCATAAGCTTTCTCGATATCCAGCTTACAAATAATACCAGGAGACACCACTACTCAATCTAGAATCCACACATTCACTGGCAATAAGAGCGGAATCCAGGATCTATCTACCCCCAATGAAAGCATTCTGAGACTCAGAGATAACTCCATCCAAGACCTCCCTCAAACGAAACGCAAGAACTTTTGCAATGAGCTTATAAATGCACCCAATCAGACTGATTGGTCGAAAGTCCTTTGTATCGGAAGCACCACCCTTCTTAGGAATTAGGGCAATAAAAGATGCGTTCAGTGATTTCTCAAACCTCCCCGTGGAATGAAACTCATGAAAAGTGCCCATAACCTCGTACCGGACCACCTCCCAGCTCTCCAGCAGAAATCTCATAGTAAATCCATCCGAGCCTGGAGCCTTGTCGCCATTATAGCTCTTAAGAGTCTTCAGCACCTCTTCCTCTGAAAAAGGATTTTCCAACCCATCTCTTTCCACGACAGAGATAGAATCAAAGTGAAGATCATCAAGACGTGGCCTCCATCGAAAAGGCTCAGAATAAAGCTTTTGGTAGAAAGAGACAATACCGCTACACACCTCCTCCTCCGTAGCCAAAATCGCACCATCCACACGCATCCGCCCAATGTAATTATTCCTCCTATGAGCATTAGCGGTTCTATGGAAAAACTTGGTATTCCGGTCTCCCTCTTTGAGCCATAAGGCCCGAGATTTCCGTCGCCACGAAATTTCCTCCAAAACTGCAATCTCCACACATTCTGCCTGACAAGCTACTCTCCTACTGCGTTGAGATTCAGAAAGAACACCCTCCCCTTCAAGTCAATCAATCTCGGCAATATCAGCCAAAGCCCTATTCTTTCTCCACTCCAACCTCCCAAAAACCTCCTTATTCCACCTTTTGAGATTATCTTTTAGAATACGAAGCTTTCCTGCAAGGATGAAACTCGATGGACCCACCACCAGGTTCTCCTCCCACCAAGCATGCACAAGTCCCTAGAAGTTATCCGCACGAAGCCACATATTCTCAAATCTGAAAGGAGTGCTACGAGATCTCAACCCTCCACAGTCTAAAACCAAAGGAATGTGATCCGAAGTCACCCTAGCCAACACAGCCTGAACAACATCTGGGAACTTCTCTTCCCAGTCACCGGAAATCAAAAATCTATCAAGACGAGAGAGAGTTGGTGTTTCCCTTCCACTGGACCAAGTGAAAGAAGCTCCCTCAAGAGGAAGATCAATAAGCTGATGACCATCAATAAAATCAGAAAAGTGCATCATAGCCTGAGTCCACGAACCTCCTGTAGATCTCTCCGCCGGGGACCTAACCACATTAAAATCACCTGCCACGTACCAAGGAAGAGACCACCTCCCCTTCACCCCACTCAACTCCTCCCACAAACCATCCCTCACACCATCATCAGCTAGCCCATACACCCCAGAAAAGCCCCAAGTGAAACCATCCTCCTCCATCACAAAGGCACAAGACAGAGAAAAAATCCCCTTAAAGACATCCACCTTAGCCATTAGCCATCCATCTTTTATCCCACATAATAAGGACACCACCTGAAGTCCCAACAGAATCCAGCGCCTCCCACTCAACAAACCGGTTACCCCACAAACTCTTCACCACCCGATCAGTCATAGAATCAATCTTTGTTTCTTAAAGACACACCAAATGCACCCCCCATTTCCTCACCGCCATCTTCACCACCTTCCGCTTGCCCGGACCATTTAGGCCACGGACATTCCAAGATAATAATCGTAGCTTCATAAGGAAACACTCACCCCCATCACCCCCTTACCCCTCCCTCCTCCCTTCACACTCCCCCCTCCTTCGCCCCCTCAGTCACCCTATCATAATTCACATTAGAACACAGATTCCTAAGCTCCCTTTCCCCTTTCCACGGAGATAGGATCTTCTTCTTCCAGCTTCTCCTTCTGGAGAATTGAATCATCTCCCCCTCTCCCCTCTGCCGTGGCCTGAAGGATTGCTAAGGTCTGATCCAGATTGCCCTTGCTAGAGACACCCAGAAGTTCGCTAGTGGTCCCAATATTAGCCTTGACCCATTCCTTTCCAGTATCCTCAGCAACCTGCCTACACTCCTTATTGCCCAAGTAAATTGTTTGTTTTTTTGATAAGTCAAGAGATTACCACATCTTACCATAACTTCTGCTTTGTTTGTTTAGAAGCAACAATAAATCTCACCATTACTCACCTTTATCAGGGCAGCTGCATCCTCTTCTGCTGTACCACCGATCTCACCAATAAGAACAACACCTGTAATGCAGCAAAAACACATAGTTAGATCGAGAACATCTCAACTTCCTTCTCTAAATGTATATACATTATTTATCTTATCGGTAAAATTTCAATCAGATAATCGAGTAGCTAAGATAGAAAACATGAAAAATAAAAGAGAAGGGACAACGTTAGAGAACATTTACAAAATAAATAGGAAAAAAGTGAAAGGATTACACTAGACACTAGTGGGAAATACAAAAGAGAGCAAGGCTAACAATTTTTACAAAAGGGTAAAATGCAAAAAGTGCAATTTTAGACAAATTAGAACAAGACAACTTTGCATGACAAAGGAAGCTGTCTTGAATTCATTAAATGGAATTTTGTTCCCACAGACACCAAAATGCCTCGAGTCCAAGTTTGCAATTTTGGCACTTCACAACACAAATCACCTTCCCCACTAAGCACCCAAAAACCAACAACAGAAACGTAATGGACAATTAAAATTTATACCTAACGAGGTCTATTTCCGGCACCAAAACTGTCCAGCTACTTTTACTTATACAATGCAATCTAGCGCCAATATTTAGACCCAAGATTTCTTACCAGTCGCAACCAATGGCATCAATGTGCAGCATCAACAGATCTACACAGACCACCATTCACTGCTATTGTTATAGCCAGGCCATAATCTTCATCAAGTTTGCTAAGCAATTATCGCCACCAGTGACTAGGTCACATGACATCCTCGTAATCACATGACATCCTCGTAATTCTCTCTCACCGCTGACAGCTCTATAAATGCGAGTCCAATCACACCCAAACATGAGCCAAGCATGAAAATCCCTCTTAAGTTTTAGGAGCCGAGAGCTATATTCATTTTGTACCCCTAGATCTTGTATTGTACAATGATTTTATATAGTTTTTTAAGGTTAATTCAGCAAAAATATCTACAAACAAAATAACCAAAAGGGTGCATTGCAATGCAAAATAAATTTGTTGTAAAAAAAAAAAAAAAAAAAAAACACGAAAGAAAAACCCAAAGCCAAAATTTACAGTAGGGAAATTAGTCCCTCTTTGTATGGAGAGAACATGGAGCAAACTATATCATGATAAGCCTTTAAGAACCTATTGAGATATCAAACATCTAAAGAACAATAATTTATCTCTAGCAATCTTTCTACTAAAATTGCAGAAGAATATTGACATGACTTAGTCATATCTCGTGCAATATGACCTGCATCACAACAACTTCAACAGGCAGTATTCCCAGCCAGTAAAACTTGCCAAACCAACTATGCCCTTAAACATAACATTTGACCTTTAAAGAAGGGAAAAAAAACTAGAAATAATGCAACAAGAGATGGAAATTGTTTGAACACCTATTGGCATTAAACTCATTTTCCTATATGGCACACAAATTATCCTGGAAAGTATCTAAAATAGTATACATACTGACACTAAATTCACTTTGGTGTTGAGTTTACCTTCCGTCTGAGGATCAGCAAGAAATTTCTTCATGCAATCAACAAAATTTGTACCATTGAAAGGGTCCCCACCAATACCTACACAGGTTGATTGCCCTAGCCCAACAGCAGTTGTTTGGAAGACCTACCATATACATAACAAACAAAGTAATCCACAGGTTTTCAGAAAATGTTACAAACAGTCCGACTAACCACAGCACTGAGTTACTAAAAGAACCTAGATAACATCTGAAGCAACACTTTGCCTCATCAAACCCCCTAGCACAATGTCAAGGACTTCATTGGTTACAGTATTACTAAATTGCATAAGATGTAATTAATACTCAAATTAAGTATATCAGGCTATCAATATCAGAGTGTTTAGAAAAATTACGATGGTATCTAAACAAAAACAATGCCACACCAAGGTGTTGTTTGGTAACTCAATTCAACACTTAATTCTAATAAACTAAATGCTTGCTCAATCCAATGTGTTTGATAACGCAATTTAAGTGCCGCTTAAAAGAATAAATCTCACTTAAATTTTTAAGTGGATGAGGCAACTTATTGCTGAATACTTAAATTTTAAACAAATATAAAAATAATAATAATAATTTATAACGAAGTACTTACAATTCAGCTCTCAAAAATTTTAGCACTTAACTTATTGCTGAATACTTAAATTTTAAACAAATATAAAAATAATAATAATAATTTATAACGAAGCACTTACAATTCAGCTCTCAAAAATTTTAGCACTTAATTTTCAGTCTGGTCAAACAGCAATAAGTCCCTAATACATGCATTAAAGCCTTAGCAGGTGATGGTCTCACACAACGTGGTCATATGATCAGTGTGGTCAAAGATCACATAAATTCTTTAATTTTCAATGGTACCAGAGATTTCTACATACTTCAAGACACATAAATGAAATTCTCAAAATTGGCACACACACTTATATATGGATATCTAGAAACTATTGGAATAGGTTGGCTATTTAAGGAACATCCAAATATTTTCTCATTTTGCAATGGGAATTTTTATACATTTATAATTTTAGTGTTGCGTCAGCTTCTTCCTTCTCTAAAAAGAAAGGACTAATAGATTAGCAGACAACTTTATTTGTTAATTATGAATAATAAAGTGAAAGCATCTCTTTGAGAGGCAGCACAACTGCTGGATGAATATGACTAATCTAACATCATGGTCTAGATCTAAGTTAAATTATTATTTAGTAACCCAGATTTTCATGACTGCTTGAAACTTGTTTTGAAGATTGATCTATCCATGATCCTACGCTACAGGCTATTAAAGTGAATGATCATGATCGAACATTGCTGGTGCAAATGTGCCCAAATTTTGGGTAAGAGAACAATAACATGATGAATACAGACAGCAGTGGTATGAACGAGTATCACAATTAGGTTAAAAGGGCAATGCATGATCTTCATTGACATCATGTACACATACTGGTGCCAATGCAGAAGTAAATTAAATGTCTGTAGAGGTACTGAGAACCCAACCATATATCCTATAGACTTACTTCATCCAATACAATATTGACTAAAAAAGGGGGAAAAATAAGAAAAAAGAAGAAGAGATCTTATTTTCATATTCCAGTGATCCAGTCAACCATAACTTTACACAATACTACCATACAATTCAAGTGGAAAAAAAGATGGTGCAAGAAACAGGTTATCACTGATGCAAAAAGGCAAAAAAAGAACATTGACAGCAGGTCTATCGTTGCAACAGGCATCCAATCAGAATCTGACCTGTCTCCCATTATGCAAATTGAACCGGATGTGTTTAGAAAACTCATTCCACTCCTTACGAATGAATTTCCTTAGACCCACTCCGACAGAGCCATGAACCTCCCTCTCTCTCCAACCCATACCTCCACAACCACTTTCCCAATGAAGGTCTGAAATGCTTAAGTCTCCAAACTCCCAAGCCTCCTACTCTCTGAGGTTTACAAACCTTATCCCAACTCCCAAATTGATGGAACCCTCTAAGGGGTACCAAGGGAAGGCCCAAATACTTCACCCAAAAAGGCCAATGCATATCACCAGTGACTTCAAAAATATGTGACACCCGAGTAAGAAAACCTCTTATTTTGCTTTAAGAGTGATTCTATAAAAAGATAAATAAGAAACCCTGGTGAAAAGCAAAATGGGACGTCACCCAAAACAATAAAATAAATAAAAAGGAGCCACAATTCATTTTGTGCACTTCTGGAATGTGTTTTACCAATGTTAAAGGAAACAGAATTAATATTAGACCCCACATTAATTAAATCATAACTAAATCAATATAAATAATAATAATCTAACCTAAGAGGCATAGAGTGGATACGGATGCGTATACAACACGACATAGACATGACAACAAGGGAAACCCTAATGAATTAAGACACGGACAAGAGAGAACATGGAAAATGATAAATATATTATTACATATTATGAGACTAATATAATATTTCATCAACATAGAATCAAAAACCCACAAGTCACCATAAGTAATGAGCTACAACAATAATTCTCTCAGTAAAGAAGAGTTTTAGAGGATCGAATGTCCTGAGTAAAAATTTTGTACTTCCTTATAAAAGTCCATAATTAAACAAAGGATTGTAATTGTATAGAGAAAGAAAGAAGATACTGACAGGGTTGGGAAGAGAGAGAGAGAGAGAGAGAATCAGTGAAATAAAGGGGAGAAAAGAAATAGAAAAAATTAGGATTTTATTGAGACAAAAAAAAAAAAAAAAAAAAAAGGAGTTCTATTATAATATAAGAGGAATACATAGAGTAAGAAAGAGGTTTGTGATGGGAAGCAGAAAAAAAAAATAGAGAATTTATTGAAGAAGAAAAAAGAGGACAAGTCAAGTTTCAACCCTCAGTTCAATACTAGATTGCAAAAGAGAGTGAGACTTCTTTCTTTCTTTACAATTTTAAACAAAAAACAATAAGCATAAAAATTAGTTAAACAAAATTGCTTGATGAATTTTTAAAAAAATAAAAATAAAAATCTGATCTTTAAGCTTTGACGTCAAATTATTAATTATTAAAAAAATTCACAGATTTTATACTTTAAAATCATCCTCTTTTTTGTAAATTTTCTGAAGAAATAGAACCTTTTAATTCGACGAGCATGTCTGTGATGTGTCCACGTGCCCATGGTGTGTTGGTGATGTGTCCATTTATTTTATAAAAAATAAATGTCAGACACTTTTTCGGCATGTGTGATGCACGCCCATGTCCAACACAAATACTTCAATCTTTTAGGCGTATCTGTACTTCCTAGATTCTAACTAAATGGTTTTGAATAATGCAGAGTGAAAACATAAATTAATACTACGTAAATAATTACTACAGTGAGATGTAGGAACGATATTCGTAACATGTTTAGTTAAACTCAAATTTTAGTCTCTATTACATCCACCAAATCAGCTATAGGGTACAAACAAACCAAGTTATTGGTGACAAATTTGAACTCAGCTTGTTTAAGAGTTGTTTAATATTAATCATTGTTAAATGAACCAAGTTCAAGCTGAACTTTAAAAATCAATTAGTAAACGAGCTGAACTTGATTAATGAGGGCTTAACTCAGAAACGTTCGGCTTGGTTATGTTAACATGTATAACAGACTCACATTATTGGTTTATATTTGTTTCTTTCTGCAATAATAACATAACACATATGAGATAATTTAAAATTTTGTTTGAAATTAATGTAATTTAATTACTATAATATGTGTGCCATCTTGGGAAAAGAAAACAAATACTTGGATTATGAATTCTACAGAGTGGGGAAGAAGAGAGTAAAAGAGGAAGCGTGAGAAAGAGAGATAGAGGTGGATGAGTCTTTTACCATTCCCAATTCTTTGGCCACTTAGTCATAGGGCAACCAGTGGAGCTCCAATAAACTCATTCCCATAGGTAATTACAGTGTCTTATAATCGCTTTCCATTTTCTACATGTGATCTCAGTAAATATGCTTAGATCCAGAAAGAATGGGATCGTACCCAATTGAACAAGTAGCCTAACCCACTTATCAAAAAAAAAAAAAAAACCAAAGTAGCCTAACCCAGCCTTCCCAAAAAACCAAGTGGTACAAGTTTAGATAGCTCCTGATGGGAGTACTAGTTTGGGATCAAAAACAAATATCAGTCACGGATTCTGGACAGGGCTAGTTTAAGTGCTCTCTGACCTGCCCCACCCTAATCATAAATGTTTTCAAAGTGGGAGAACTCATATTTCTTAACCTACACCGATTGTTCAAAGTAAATAGGAGGCTTATGGTATCAAAAGAAGGCCATCACTTCCCAATTGCTTTTATTCCAAAAAAAAATTGATAAGTAAAGAATGTATAAAAAGCGTTCACAAGGGGGAACGCATCCCTCAAAAGCCTCACAAGGCCAAATAGGGCCTCTAAACCCTCAAACAGTCCAAAAAATCAACAAGCTCCTCCAAGGATTTACAATTTATCCCTAGAACCCAACAAAAAAGAGTACTAATAATGGAGAACTTCAACGTCCCAATAAGATTCTCCTTTCATTTCGTAATCAAAATCCATTGGTGTCAATATTTGATGGTGCCACATGCGAAATAGTTGAGAAGTTCAAATGCTTTTTATATTAAGTGAGAATTATTGAGGGTGCCACGTTTACACAGAATAGAAAATGGAATATTTTTTTTTACCTGGGCATTTACATCACTGTTGATCAATACATTCTGTGATTTTAAATTCAATCAACTACCAGAATTTACAAGCAACAAAAGAATGGCCAAATAGTCAACCTCGGGTGAGCATACATACTGCGTTAGTTAGATGGCCAAATGCACAGCTCACAGGTATTAATTTGTGAGATCTATACAACAAAAAGACATTTTTTTTTTTTTTAGTAAGGTTGATTTCATTAAAGGCGATCAAAAGGGGAGCGCTCCCAAAGGAAACAAAAGCCATCCACGGCGACACTATAACTTTAAGCTATCCACAAAATCCAAAAGAAGATCCATAGAATTACAATTCCAACCTATTACCCAAAAAAAAAATAAAGAAGACAATATATTGTATTTGAGAGAATAAATAGGAGACTCCTCTCCCTCAAAGAATCTCCTATTTTTCTCATGCCAAAGGGGAGTGGCCCTCCAAGCATCTTTGACCCGGCTCTCAACTATACACTCTTTCTTAGCCTCTAACATGTCCACCGTGGATTCTGGAAATACCCAAGCCAGACCAAAAGCAACCAACAACATAGACCAAACGTCCTTCTTCCTTCGCCACAAGGCAATGAAGCAGAAGATGATCCACAGATTCACCCAACTCCTTACACATGCAGCACCAGTTCACCACAATTAGACGTCTCCATCTAAGGTTGTCAAGAGTGAGGATACTTCCCAAGGACAACAAGCCTTTTTCCCAACTACTTGGGGTTGGCTACATGAACCCTATGCTGCCATTCCACTCTGTCTAAGCCCATAGCCTCAGTCAAACACTCAGACCACAACCTATCACATCCTTCTTTACTAACTCTACCCACGTTTACTTTGGTCTTCCTCTTCCCCTAGTATTACCCTCAATGTGGACTATGCCACTCTTCCTATCCAATTTTTTATTACCCTCAATTTGTGAGATCTATCCAATTTTTTATTTCTATCCTCATCTTGTGTGTGTGTGTGTGTGTGTGTATTTACTTCAAAACGATAATAATGTTCAATTCGGTATTCCAACTCAGAATTTCGAGAATGTTGATGCTCTCATGTCCAATGAGCATCAAGGCTTTTTGAGCCTCATGAGATTACTTTTAAGATACCGCATGCTCAACCCCCTGAAAAAGATGAAGTTTCAATACACAACACTAGACAAAGAAGATAAATATGGATCTAGGAAAAGAAGACAGTGAACTACTAAAATCCATTTGCAGGGAAGTTACAATAAAACATATTTTCTTTATACATAAGAATAAGATTTGCCTTCAGGTTCACCCAATAGTTAATTAGTTATAAAGGCTCCACTCTGTCCCATAAATAGAGGCAATATAAATAGTCACCTAAAGGCCTTGATTGGAATAAGAGGCTTGTATGACAGATATGAGTCATCAAAAACCATAAATATCAAAAAGAAAAATTACTATTAAAACATTCAAGGTTAAAATTGAAGGGACGCACTGCGCAGGAGAAAAGGTGTATAGAAGAAATTAACAAGGAAAACCAATAGGATTTATTTTAAGCCTAAGGAATCTGCTAGGTGGTACCACTGATTGGAGAGGCTCACAACATCGATATCACACTTAAGATGTGTAAAGAATTGTTAGAAATTAACAAATAGACGGCAAAAAAATAAACTTTGGGAAAAAGGATCTCACCGCTTCATAAGTCAATGTACCAGATCGAGAAACAATTCCTACACGCCCTGGTTTGTGAATGTACCCAGGCATAATTCCAATTTTGCATTCTCCTGGTTTGATAATACCAGGGCAGTTCGGACCAATCAGCCGAGTTTTTGATTGCTTGTTAAGAGCAGCCTTCACCCGAACCTGCAGTTGCAATTAAAAGAAAAACCTCAGTTATATTTAAAATAAGATACTAAAAGAACAGCATAGTTGTTGGAGCTATAGGCTATTTATATTGAACAAAAGCTTGAGAGAATTACATGCACTAATGATATAACCAAATTAACATTTCGAAATAATATAACAATGTCTCATCAAAGAGGTAATTAAGCAGCTGACTGGAGTTCCAGTTTCACAAAACTTGCCAACGTATGCTATTCTGTGCATGCAGGAACACCTTCACTTGTGCTCATTTTTATGCAGTTAAAGTGGTATTAAGATAACACACAATTTCCAAACCAACTCAGATTTATGGATTATTCTGACAAAACTAAAACCAACTAAAAGAAAATTTATTATAATTAAAAAAAAAAAAAATACTTAGAAAGTTTTAACATATTGCAAATTTCCAGTCATTGTGCAATTTGGTCTCAGATCTAGACCAACAAACAAGTGAATTCAGAAATTAACAACATATAATTAAAACAGGGTTCCATTATCTCAAAAGAACCATGAACTGCATATCTTCCAGACTTGATACAAACCTCATATGAAAAAACAAAACAAAAAGAGCATGACTACCAACAAAGAAATCAGAGCAATTTTCTAACAGATTAAATCTTACTAAGAGCATTATTATTCAACTCAAGAATACTCCAATCCTGAAGAAAAATAAAACAAAAGACAGTAATAGGTTTTTTGGGTTCGGTATGACCTAGAGAAGGTGAATAGGAGTATCCATGATACTACAGTTCTTAATAACTTTTTGCTTGATTTTAATTGTAAAAAAATTCAAATAATTAATAGTGCACATAAGAACCATCACTCATGCAAACCAACAATACAGCAGTAAAGCGAAGTAAGTAAAAGTATGACAAAGATTTAGTATAAAACCCTATGGAATAGAACCACAAGAAGCCAATTCAGGCACAAACAATCCATTATAAGAAAAGAGAACAACTCTATGCCACTCTTACCCTAGAATCACCTAAGTTACATTACCTCCAATCCAAACTAATGTCAGACACTGCACATGTGGTTTGCTGTTGTCAATCAATGAATTGCAATTCGTCCTTCTCTTTTTCCTTTTTCTTTTTCTTTTTTCCTTTTTTTTTTTATAAGCAAAGTAAATTTCATTAAAGAGTGCTCAAAAGGAGGAGTGCGCCCTTGTAAAAAAGCACAAAAACCAAGAAGCCTCTAAATTCTAAGGCTATCCACAAAATCTACAAGGTCTTCCATGGATTTAAAACGGCATCCTTTGACCCCAAAAAAATAGAGAATTCAAAGTGGAACATTTCAACACCCAAATACGAGTCGCTTCTGCTTCAAAAGATCTCCTATTCCTCTCCCTCCACAAACCCCACCACAAGCATAGAGTAGTCGCTCTCCAAGCATCTTGGGCTTCAACCATACAACCTCTCTGAACCTCGAGCATACTTCTCATGGAATCCAACAAAGTCCAATGAACTCCATAAACAGAGAATAACATGGACCAAACCTCTCTAGCCACCTGACAATGCAACAAAACATGACTCAACACCTCATCTCTCTGACACATGCAACACCAATTCACAATAGTTAGCTGCCCTTTTCATAGATTGTCAATGGTCAAGATTCTTCCCAATGCAGCTGTCCACCCAAAAAAAGCTACCTTGGGAGGTGCTTTTGTATGCCAAATAGCTTTCCAAGGGAACAAGCAGCCTTGAGGCTCCAACAACCTCCTATAGAATGATTTCACCTCAAAAACCCCATTCTTCGCACCTGCCCAATACCACTCATCATCCCCCTCCCCTCCCACCTGATGGCTATACAACAAAGCCAACAACGAAGTGATCTTCTCAATCTCCCAGTCCTGCAATTGTCGCTCGAACTGCACATCCAATGTCACCCTCTCATTATCAAGTCAATGACAGTTAGTGACTAAGGACTGTTTGTTTATTGCATTCCAAAACAGTCTCAGAGAAGTGAATGAAAGAGGCATGTCCCCACACAAAGGGTCCTCCCATAATCAAATGTCTCCTCGTACTAACTGAAAACAGAATGTGTTATAAGAATTCACTCCACGTCATTTGCGTTCCTTCTATTCAGGAAAACCTCATCTCTAATGAATTTCCAAACCCCAACCTCACCCACGGCACAATCTCACTTTTTCAAGAATTATATTCAACCTAGAAACAGCCTGAAAGCAAATCAACATGCATCTCAAGAATCTTTTTTTGATAAGTAAGAATTTATTAAAAGCGCTCAAAAGGGGAGCGAAGCCCAAAGAAAACAAAAAGGGCCAAAAGGCGCCTTAGACCTTCAGAGAGGCCAAGAAAACAATGATTTCCTCTATAGATCTATAATCTCTCCCTGAAACCCAACAAAAAAGAGTAGAAATAACAGAGAACTTAAGCATAGAAATAGGCTTCTTTTTCCCGTCAAAATATCTCCTATTTCTCTCGAGCCAAATACACCACCAGATACAAAGCGGCGTAGCCCTCCAAGCATCCTTAACACCAACCCCAACAGAGACGCCTCTCCAAGCTTCAATCAACCCTCTAGAGGAAAAAGGCATAGCCCAATGGACCCCAAATAAACGAAGCATCAAATCCCAGCAGTCTCTGGCCATACTGCAATGTAAAAGGAGGTGATCAATTGATTCCTCATTACACAAGCACATATAACAATGATTGACCACCACCTGATTCCTCCTCCTCAAATTATCCTGGGTTAAAATCTTACCCAGGACAGAGGTCCAAGCAAAAAAGGCGACCTTGCGGGGAGCCTTAGAACGCCAAATAGACTTCCAGGGGAAGAGTTCACCTTGACCATCCGAAAGACATCTAAAGAAGGACCTGACCTCAAACCGGCCTTGCGAGTTAGGAATCCATAGCCACCCATCTAGCTCCCCAAAAGAAATCACCTGGTTATACAAAAGCTACAGAAAACGAGAAACATCCTCGATCTCCCAATCCTGAAAATGCCTCATGAACTGAACATCCCAAGTCAGTCTCCCGTTATCAAGATGATAACAGTCAACAACCATGGCCAGTCAGTAAGAAGCAATCCTATAGAGCCATGGGAAAGAGAGAGCAAGAGGGAGCTCCCCACACCAGAGATCCTTCCAAAAACTGATCCTCCCTCCATCTTTAATGCAAAAACGAACATGCTTGCAGAAGTCATCCCAACCCCTTCGAATGAAGTTCCATACTCCCACCCCCCTTGGACCACGCATCGCCCGAGAGCACCACCCCCCACGACCTTCCCCAAACTTGCTAGCAATAACTCTCCTCCATAACCAATGCCTCTCGATTCCAAACCTCCAGAGCCATTTACCAAGGAGAGCCTTATTAAAAGGCAACAACCTCCTTAACTCTAAGCCTCCAAACCGAATTGGACGACACACTTGATCCCACCGAACCAGGTGAAACTTGAACTCTTCTCCCCCCCCCCCCCCCCCCCCCCCCCCCCCAAAAGAAAATTACACTGCAATCTTTCAATTCTCTCAACCACTGAAGAAGGGATCTGAAACAGAGATATGAAGTATGTAGGAAGGCTAGAAAGAGTGCTCTTAATCAGGGTAACTCGACCCCCCTTAAACAAGTACTGCTTTTTCCAACCCGCCAATCTCCTCTCGAATCTGTCCACGACCGGATCCCAACTCCCCACACATCTGGAAGGGGCTCCCAAAGGCAAACCTAAATAACAAATGGATAGGAGCCAATGCAACATCCAAGGATCTAAGCAAACAACTCAATCCCTGGAACATCCCCAACAGGCACAAGAAGACTCTTGCCTACATTAACCTTAAGGCCAGAAACAACTTGAAACCAAATCAAAACGCATCTCAAATACCTCAGCTGGGACGCATCCGCATCACAAAACACAATAGTGTCATCTGCAAACATCAAATGAGAAACCTCCAATTGACTAGCAACATCCCTGCCCACCCGAAATCCACTCAAAAAACCCAGCTCCACAGCCCTCTTCAACAATCTACTAAGAGCCTCCATCACAAAAAGGAACAGGAAAGGGGAAAGCGGATCCCCTTGTCTCAAGCCCCTCGAGCTAGAGAAAAAACCCGTTGGCGCTCCATTCACAAGGACAGAGAAACGAGCGCTAGAAATGCAGAAAAGAATCCATCTCCTCCACTGCCCACCAAAACCCATCCTCTCTGACAGATAGAGAAGGAAACTCCAACTCACATGATCGTATGCCTTTTCAATATCTAGCTTGCAAAGAACACCCGGAACACCACTACTCAAGCGGGAATCAACACATTCACTAGCAATAAGAACTGAATCCAGAATCTGCCGACCTCCCACAAAAGCATTCTGAGAGTCAGAAATGACACCATCCATCACCTTCTTCAACCTAGAGGCCAAAACTTTCGCAATCAACTTGTAAAAACATCCCACCAAACTGATAGGGCGAAAGTCTCTAACATCCATTGCCTCTCCCTTCTTCGGAATAAGAGCTATAAAAGTTGCATTCAAACATTTCTCAAAAGAGCCCTGCACATGGAAGGCATGAAAAGAGGCCATCACCTCCTCACGGACCACCTCCCAACACTCCAAAAGGAACCTCATAGAAAAACCATCAGGACCAGGAGCTTTATCCCCATTACAGCTCTTCAGAGCAGAGAGAACTTCCTCTTCGGAAAAAGGCTCCTCTAAAATAGAGCACTCCTTACCCGAAATAGAATCAAATTGAAGCCCATCCAGCAAAGGACGCCAATCGGCTGACTCAGTGAACAACCTCGAAAAGTACTCAGAAAAACTCTTACACATCTCCTCCTCTTTACTAATCAACACCCCATCCACCCTTATCCTCCAAATGTGGTTGCCCCTTCTGTGAGCATTGGCGAGCCTATGAAAGAATTTAGTGTTATTGTCTCCTTCCTTGAGCCACAAAGCTCTAGATTTCTGTCTCCATGAAATCTCCTCCATGACTGCAATCTCAGCAAACTCTACTTGACACTCCACCCTCCTGAGCTTCAAAGG